CGTGTCTCACTCTGTCACCCAGGCTGGAGTGCACAGCTCACTGCAGCCTCGACCTTCTGGGCTCGGGCAGTCCTTCCACCCCAGCCTCCCGAGTAGCTGGGACTATAGGCATACGCCACCATGCCTGGCTAATTTTTTGAATTTTTTTGTAGAGATGAGGTTTCACTATGTTGCCCAAGCTGGTCTCAAACTCATGGGCTCAAGCAATTCTCCTCTGTGGTCTCACAAAGTGCTGGGATTTCAGGCCTGAGCCACCACACTTAGCCCCTGTCTTTTGGATGAAAGCATTGCCATCTCCTATCCTGGATTCTTAGGAGGCAGCTCACCTACCTGGGGTCCTCCCTCTTTGAGCGGAGGGGCTCTTGGCTCCACAGGCCCACCCCAAGTCTATTCCCCTCCAGCTTCCCTGCCGTCTACATCGCTGCCTACTCGGAGGGTGGGACGGCCTCTCCTGCTGAGGTGGAAAGGCCCAGGATGTCACGCTCTCGGGCCTGGGAATCAGCCTTCTTTGCTCGTTGGCTCTGTGGGATGCAGCTCTGCCTTTCCCACTAGATGGGAGCTACCTGAGTTCCTGGCAGGGCCATTTTCATCTCGGGGCTCCTGTGCCTGGCAGATTCACTGAATAAACATTGGGGCAAGGTCGGGCATGGTGGCTCAAGCCTGTAATCCCAGCACTTTGGGAGGCCAAGGCAAGAGGATTGCCTGAGCTCAGGGGTTTGAGACCAGCCTGGGCAACTTGGCGAGACCTCATCTCTACAATAAATCAAAAAATTAGCCAGGCGTGGTAGCGTGTACCTGTAGTTCCCACTACTTGGAAGGTTGAGGCAAAAGGATTGCCTGAACCCAGCAGGTCAAGGCTGTGGTGGCCGTGAGCAGTGTGCTGCTGCACTCCAGTCTGGGCGACAGAGTAAGACTCTGACTCAAAACAAAAAAAAAAAGGTAGGGCAGAGGCCAATGAATGACCAGAGAGATAGGGTAGGCTAGAGGGGGACAAACCTGTCCCCAACTCCTGGCCTCCCTGACAGTGGGACAGTCTGCAGGAGGCTGGGCATGGCCTCCGGTGCTTGACTTCAGGGTCACCCTGGGGGCTCACTGCCCGTTCCTCCTCTAGCTGAGGGAGCATGCCTGCCACAGCCACGGTCTTTCACCTTCTCTTCCCGATCCCCAGAGACCTCTGGAGAATGGTAAAATCTGCTGTTTCCCTCCCCTATGGGCCATCCCTATGTGCTGAGAACCTTCTTCACGTCCTCACCTGGCTGGCCCTGCTTTTGGTCCCAGGTTCACTCCAGAGGAGGAAACTGAGGCACAGTGTGGCTATGGAAACAGCTGTGTATGGCAGACCTGGACCCCAGAGCTTTCGTGTGCACGCTGTCTCTCTCAGCTACTGCCTTGGGGGTGTAGACAGGGGTTGAGGCCTTCTTCGGGGTCTTTCTAGCCCCAGGCTAGCTCCCACCATGCCCGTGCCTGGGGCTTTCTGGTCAGAACGCTCAGGGCGTGTAGGGAGGCGGGAGCAGGCGGGGGTCGTCTTGAGGAGCTGCACGTGTGGCCTCTGGGGCGCTGGAGGTGCTGGACAGGGGCGGGGCCTCTGTGTGGGAAGGAGGCTGAGGAGGTTTATAAACAGAGCCTCCCTTGCCAGCTGTGCTGAGAGTGAGTCACCGCGGGGAGGGGGCACGCAGGGGGAAGGGAGCAGGCTGGGGTGCAGACACAGAGTCTCCCTTCTGGCGTTCACAGTCCACCCTTGACCCCGGTTCAGTCACCAAATGTCAGTGTTCCCATTTTGCTGATTGCCTTATAATTTTAAAAACTTGTTTGAACCAGAATCCGGACAAGGTCCATACATTGCTCCAGGTGTCTCTAAGTCTCTTTTTAAAATCTCGATTTCTCTCTCTCTTTTCTCCCTACACTGGTTCTTATTGATCACACCAGTGTCTGCCTTGTGGCGTCCTCAAAAGCCTGGATTTCACCATTGAACCCTGTACCAATGTAACATGCTCTTCCAGCCCCTGTATTTCCTGAAACCGGCCGCTGGACTTGGAGGCTCACTCGGATTCAGGCTCAGTAGTGTAGCTCACGACTGCAGTCTGACCATAGTTCCTGATTTTGGGTCCCCTCCTGGTCCTCCGTCCATCTTTATGCTTAGATCATTTGTGGTGGGGCCTCTGGCTTCTGTCCTTGGTAGAGGCGGGACTTCTGAACTGCGGACTACAGGGGCAAAGGGGGCAGCTAGGGCCATGTGAAGGCCTGCTGAGGAAGGCTGCCTTCCCTGTGGGTGCACCTGCCAACCTGGCCCACCAGCACCTCCTGGTGACGAGGATGGGCTTCTGGATAGGAAGCCAGCATTCTGAAGCCCTTCTGGGCTGCCTGTCTTTGCTCAGGGGCTGGCAGGACCCTGAGCTCTGTGGTCAGCTACCCTTGGGGGTCTCCCACTGGGGGTTTTGGTTGATCCTCAAACGAACTTAACAGAAATCTCTGGACAAAAGCAAACTGAGGGCCCAACCCAAGCCAGGATGAGGCTGATGGTCACCACAGACCCATGCCCCACCTCTGCTGGCCCTGGTCATCTCCCACTTCCCATGTGGAACTGGCACCCTGGCTGGGGTTTGTCTGTGGACAGTTTCAGAGATGCAGCTTTGGGGTTTCCTCGGTTAACATGTCATGGGTTCACGGGGGTGGGGGTCCTGGGAAAAGAGCCCTCTAGTATCCTTCTAGACCGGGCCCAGCTTGGCGTTTGCTAGGGCCTTGGAAAAGGCCAGCGTGCTACCAGGATGCACTGCAGGAGAATTTCCCAGCCAAGGCGAAGGGACTGGCAGGACTCGGTAGATGAAGGGGCCTCAGACCCTTTCTGGAAAGAGGCTGGGGAAGCAGGAGCTTGGGAAACAGAAGCAGGAAAGGCAGCCTTCAGAACTCCCACAGACCTGTTCTGACACGCTGGCCCCTGCCGGGCTGCAGAGGGTATGACATTGCTGGCTGGTGTGGTGTCAAGGTGCCACCTGGGGTGGGTCCCCTGGAGAGCATGTGTACCTTCGAGTTGGTTGGAATTAAACTGAAGTACAGTTCAGGGCTTCCCTTTGGAGCCAGAGCCTTAGAAGACTGCTGTGTGTGTGACCCTTCTTATTGTGTTCCCCATGTCGGGATAGATGGTGAATCTTAAGGGGTAACAGTGGTTAGTTAAATATAGTGCTTCATGGCCCTGGACTCAGAATACCACTGCCTCTTATTAGTTGGGTAACCCTGATCAGGTTTTTAAATGTCACCAAGACTTGGTTTTCTCATCTGTAAAATGGGTCTAATTATAGAAGGAAAAACAGCTAGTGTTTATTAAATGCTCACCATGTACCAGACGCTGTTCCAAGTACTTTAGAACATGCTAACAAAATAAATCCCCACAACAACCCAGTGAGGTAGATGCTATTATTTCCCCCATTTTACAGATGGGGAAACTGAGGCAGAGAGAGATTAAAATAACCCGCTCTAGTTCACATAGTTACTGAGCCAGGATTCAGATCCAAGCTGCTCTGAAGTCTGTGTTCTCTTAATCGTTATCCCTACTTCATGGGGTTGTTATGAGGATTAACTGAGATTAAGTCTGGAAAGCACTTAGCACTGTGTCTGGAATGTATTAGGCGCTCAATAAACAGTAGTTAAGGATGCTATATTGTAATTGGTAATGGTGATGAAGCTGGGAAGAAGTGTCCAGGGGCAGAGGAGCCTATTCCTGGAGTAGCCTCCGTCTAGACAGCACTGGCTTTTCTCTGTGGGATCAGCCTCCTGGAGGTGTGCCTGGCGATAGGGGGTTGTCAGCAGATTCCACAGCTAATCTCCCTGGAGCCAGAGTTCAGGGGTGGGGCGGTTGGCATTCCAGCTGAATGCAACCAGGCCCCAAATGCACTTGTGAGCTGAACTACACCTCAGAAACGGAGGGGGGCCCGGTCAGCCCAGGGGTGCTCTCACCAGCCCGTGTCCCTGGAGGGAAGGCACAGAGGGCTTGCAGAGGCTGTATTGGGCAGGGGAGGCCCGAGCAGGCCATGGCCCCGGGCTCCTGCTCAGGGGCTAGGAAGGGCTTTTCAGAATGTGGCCTGGCTCTGTGTGTGTGCATTTGCACGTGTACATGTGTTTTGGAGAGAGGGTAGGCCTATATTTCCGATCTGGTGGGAAGTAGAAATGGGAATGTCCAGCCTTCCTGGCTACCTGCGTCCCACCATGTTTTTCTTCCCTCTGGGGCAGCCGTGGCTGGCACGGTCCTTTACTTAGAGCTGCTCGGTCCAGTGAGGTAGATGTTGACATCATCATATTTTGGATGTATTAAGTTAAATAAAATACATTATTAAAATTATGTTTTTTCTGTTTCTTTAAAATCTAGCCATGAGCCGGGCTCGGTGGCTCAGCCTGTAATCCCGCGCCTTTGGGAGGCTGAGGTGAGGCTGAGGCTGAGGTGGATTGCCTGAGCCTGCGGGTTCGAGACCTGCCTGGGCAACTTGGTGAGACCTCATCTCTACAAAAAATTAGCCGGGTGTGGTAGCGTGCATAGTTCCAGCTACTTGGAAGGCTGAGGCGGAAGGATTGCCGGAGCCCAGCAGGTCGAGGCTGCGGTGGCCGGGAGCGGCCACTGCACTCTCATCTGGGCAACAGAGTGAGACTCCAACTCAAAAAAAAATAAATAAATAAAAAAAATAAAATCTAGCCATGGCCAGGTGTGGTGGCTCATGCCTATAATCCCAACACTTTGAGAGGCTGAGGCAGGAGGATTGTGTGAGCCCAGGAGTTTGAGACAAAGCTAGGCAACATAGTGAGGCTTCGCCTCTACAAAAAAAAAAAAATTAGCTGGGCTTGGTGGGGGGTGTCTGTGGTCTCAGCTACTCAGGAGGCTGAGGCGGAAGGATTGCCAGAGCCCAGGAGATTGAGGCTATGGTGAGGCATGATTGTGTCACTGCACTCCAACCTGGGCAACAGAGCGAGACCTAACTCAAAAAATATAAAACAAAATAAAATAGAAATCTAACCACTAGAAATTTTGAAATTGCTTATGTGGCCCGCATTACATTTCTTCTCTCTTTTTTTTTTTTTTGAGTTGG